TATATATATATATATATATATATATATATATATAAAAGTAAATTAATAACCAACGATATCATGAATATAAACGTATATAATTATCGCATTAAATGTCGCGGTTTGATAATTTGAAAACAGGTTGGTAATAAAGTATACCCTAGACCCATACGTTTTATCATCGAGTGTATTAAATTCATTATGAAAGGCAAGTATCCGTGTTTCATCCTTTTATCGTAAAACATTGAGCGAGACAATCGTTAGCTTTTAAACATCCATATATATACATATACATATATATGATACATGCGTATTTTTACATACGTGCAAGTATGTAAAAATGCATAGAAACGGTGTAGCAGCTTCTACACTTACATATACACATTATATCTATATATATAAATACATAGAAACATAAGTATAAACGCATATAGCATAGAAGGTACGATTTACACGATTATGGATGTCGCTTTCAAAGCACTCCACTTTAGGTGGCCATTGGCGAAAGTCTGCAACGACTTCTTCTTCTTCTTCCGTGGTAGCAGAAACGCGTTACGGAAAATGTTAGGGAAGTAAGAGTAACAATTCGAGGAACGCTTCCTCCTCCTCCTCCTCCTCCTCCTCCTTCTCCTCCTTCTTATATCTCGTAAAGTTTTATTTTTACGAGTAAAAAGAAGTCGAAGGAAAATATCAAAAGCAAAGATTGTAAATAATACAAAGATCACACCGTAGTAAGACGTCACGTTTTTTTCTTATTGAAGTGTTTCTTTTTTCTTTTTTTTTTTTTTTTCTTTTTTTTCCACTTGAACATATATTACGTATTATAACTCACGTAAGTGGGTGAGTCCTTCCGTATGCACATTAAGTAGATATATCGTGTTCTTCTATGCACAAAACTTTCCCCTGTAACGCTTGAGCGAACGTAGAAAAGAGATCGGCTTCATTTGATGATAGTGGTGGAATTGGGTGGGTGTTTTTGTTAGGGTGAGGTAAAGGGAGGATATTTGTGGAACGTTTGTTACGTTTAAAAATCAATGAATTCTTTTTTATTCTTTCCAATTACAGTCTATTTTGAGATTAAATGAACAATATTTTCTGTACTTCCTACATATTTTTATTATTGTTTATAATTTTATGACGTATTTGTAGCTTAATTTAATCCTTCTAACAGAGAAAATACGCATTACACGTGTATTAAGTGTAGCAATTAGCTTATTAACAAATTTATTATTTATTTATAAAGTAAACCTTTTGTTATTGTACGATTTTGATGTGGCAATTAATTTATCAAAGTATCGAATTAATTAAACACTTGAAATATTTGTAAATAATCCTATACAAAAAGACGTTTGATATAAGATTAGTAAAACACTAGATTTGTTTTCATCAAGAACGTCAAAATATTTAGGATTTTTTTTTTTTTTTTTATAACTTTGAAGTGTTTTATTTTTCTTTTTTTTTTTTTTTTCACGGGTAGATTTTCTTTGACAAAAGTTTAACGTGTCGGATGCACGTCCAAAGGCGTTAAGAAGAGAGGAGAGAGGAGAGGGTCGTTGTTCTTTCGTCAGGCGTACAAATGCGTTCAACTTGACCCCGATTACGTCGAATCGGATTTCCGAAGTCCCGTTGATCCTCGGTGGATACCCTCGAATCAATCCTCGACGACATCCCGACACGACAAGCGATTCGAATCGCTTGGAAAGTGAAACTTTGTCTCCGTTCGATGACTTTGATGAAGATACGTTCCTCTCCCCCAAGTCTGTCTTACTTAAATCGAGACGATTTATCGAACGGAATCTCTAAATCGTTCTGATCTTTCCTATCTTCACATTTCACACATTTCACGTTTTATTTTTACGAATAATAAAAGTGATATTTTAAAAATGTTTTTGTTTCTGTTTCTTTTTTTTTTTTTTATTAGCTAAAGAATAAAGTAAATAAATAATATATCTCGGTTGATACATTAATCATTTGAAATGAGATATTCGATGTAAAGTAATAATATAATTTAATTGAACAATATTCGAAAAGAAAAATGCATAACAAATTAATGCTGATTATTTGGTAAGGGATATCGAAAGTAATATTTGCTACAAAGGAATAACGCATTATAATAATAATAATAATAATAATAATAATAATAATATCAATAATAATGGCGACTACTAATAATGCAAATTTTAATATATTAGTAACTGTAGTAAGTAGTGATAGTAATATGGATGGATATGTGACGAACGAATGGAAATATAACGTTGTTGTACAAAAAAAGTGAAAAGAAAAAAAAAAATAATATAAAAGGTCGTATTTCAGCAATTAGAATAAAAATTTCCAAGCGAAAAAATATGATTTATTTTATCAAAAAAAAAAAAAAATCCGTAGATAAAAAAAAGAAAAAGAAAGAAATGGGAGGGAGAGAGAGAGAAAGAAAGAAAGAAGGTACAACATTACCTACGTTCGGCTGATATACAAAACGTTAGGGGTGGTGGTGGATCTGGAGAAAGAGAGAAGGAGGATAGGGTTTAGTAAAAGAGAGGAGATGGGGGGTAGGAATGAGGATAGAACGGTGAGAGGGAAGAAGGGTAGTTGGTAGGAGGTAGAGTTGGGAGTACTTTTGAAAGGGGTTTTCGGGAAGGGTAGTAGCTAGGCGCGCGTAGGGTTAGGGCAGTTGCGTTGGATGGCGGGCGTCGCGGTTGCTCACGTGGCTCCCCACCGTATTCCACAGAACATCGGCGTTCTCTCTTTCGTTTTCCATCCCCTTCTATTGGTTGTAGCGCGTTGCTTTCCCCCACTACAAATCTTCTACCTCTCCCCTCTTAAATTGACAGTAGCGCCGCCACGCCTGCTAGCTTGCAGTAACGCGACCGCTTTCGTCGAGGGAGTGTGTTATTTTCTCCTGACGCTGTTATTGTAACACCGTGCGGATGATTTACATTCTCGAGTGGGATCTTTAAAAACGAATTGTAAACTACTATGCCCGTAGTTTGTGCCGGCCCGTCGATGGATATACATTTTGTTTTTTGTGTTATTAATCATGTGAATTATCTGTTATAACGAGAGAACCTAAAATTTACGTGCTACGTATTGGAATTATATTCTATCGTACGTCCAGAAATATTATTGACTTATTTTTTTTTTTATATATATATATTATTATTATTATTATTGTGCTATTATTATAATATTACTATTATTAGCCAGTAAAAGGGGGAAGATAAAATCGCGTGTATGTGTGTTTTTTCTTTTTTTTTTTTATATTCGTCGAGAGGGATAAGTTTATATATTTAAAATAACACATAGGTTTTTATTATTAATATTAATATTATTAGTATCATTATTTTATTATTAATATTATTATTAGTATTATTATTATTATTATTATTATTATTATTGTTATTTAAAGAGTGGGGGGAAAGAGAAAGAAAGAAAGTATGCAAGACTGTATTATGGAAAGTTTGGATTATCGACGTTCAAGCGTGAGATTTGGTTGGTTAGTAAGAGTCCGTACGAGATGAGAGAGATCGGCCATCGTTGGTAGAATCGAGGGAACAGAAAGAGTGTGTGTGTGTGTGTGAGAGAGAGAGAGAGAGACAGAAAAAGAGAAGAGAGAAGAGGACAGTGGGAAGGGAGAGATCAATGGTTTAGTAAGATAGACAGAGAAACAACGAGAAAAGTGTATAGAGAATATTGGGACAATAAGTGAAAGAAGATAGAAATAATGATGAGTGGGAGAGGAAAAAGAATGGAGGCTGTTAACCGCGTTGGTACGCGTCGCGACGCCGTCAACGCGGCGGCGATAGCCACGTGCCTCGAAGGATATGCCGTTGTTGACACCTCTGTCGTCGTCGTCGTAGTCAAAGATGAAGAAGAAAAAAAATCAACGTCAACATCATCCCTGATAAATTCTACGACGAACAGTAGCACCATCGTTTTACGACACTGACAGAAAAAAAAAAATAAAAAATAGTTCAAGCAGAAGAAGGGTGGTGGTGAAACGCGAAGAAAAACGCGTTTTTGTTTTGTTTTTGGGTCCTATCATCGAAAGAAAGTTTTCGACGTTACCACACAGTGTTTCTCATTTTTTAATATTAATTCTTATTGTTGTTGTTATTGTTATTGTTATTGTTGTATAGTTATTGTTGTTGTTGTTGTTGTTGGTTGTTAATTTTTTTTTCTTTTTTTTTTTTTTATATAATCAAAGTGAGACCACCGGTGTTTTTATTTTAACAAGAGATAAAAAGAAAAAGAAATTGTGTACGCGCGGTTTTTTATTTTCAAATCGAAAGACGACGATACGAGAGTTTCTTTATCAGTGTGAGAGGAATTTTTTTTTGTAGTGTTTTAAGATTTGGTGGATACGTTGTATTTACGTAAAGGAAGAAAACAAAAGGATATATTACTTTGATAAGAGTAAAACCTAAGGTGGTGTGTTTAAATTATCAGTGACTTCTCGGTGTAATTTTCTTCATTTTCTTTTTGGATATTTTTATCATTATGAAGAAGATGATTTTAAAAAAACAATAGTATAAGCCTAAGGAAAAGGAAGATTCATCTTTTGGTCCTGGCACGTGGTGGTAGTGGTGGAGTAACAATAAAACGTATAAAAGTAGTTTTACGCGGGACGAGAAAGTTCTCTCGTTGATAGAGGATAGGCAGTGTGGAAGCGATTGAAAAAGTGGTTTGAGAAAAAGAAAGAGAGAGAGTGATAGGAAGTGAAAGAGAGAAGAGGGTGAGTTGGTTGGAAGGATCGTAGAGGTAGGCAGGCAGGCAGGCAGGCAGGCAGGCAGGCAGGCAGGCAGGCAGGCAGGCAGGCAGGCAAAGAAGCAAGCAAGCGTGCAGGCGAGTAAGCTAGCAGAGAGGAGTGGTGAAAATCTCGACGCGAGTTCTACGGGGCGGGTGAGAAGGGCCAGGTCGTGGAGTGGGGAGTGATGCCGGTGAGGGTGGCGCAGCGCCCCCCAGGTGGAATACCACTCCACGCCGGCGTGCCGGTAGCGGCCAACAGCGTAACCGCCTCCGGTCCGTCGGGCCGGTGCCTCGGGGGCCCGGCTGCGTCCCCCGCCGGCTCGCCACCGCTGCCGCCGTCACTGCAATCTCTCGGCGGCGGCATAAGCGGCACCAACAACAACAACAACAACAACATTAATAACAATAATATCAACGGAAACAATCAATTGATCAACAGCAACGGCGGGAACGGTAGCATCCTCGGTGGCAACTCCTTAAACGGCCTCGGCAACTTGAACAACGGCAACGGAAACGGTCTAAGCAACAGTAGCATCAACAACACGACGGCGTCTAGCATCGTCGTCGCGACGAATCCGCTCCAGGCAATGGCATCGGCCGCGGCCTCGCTCACGCAGTTGAACAACATGGCGAACGGGCCGCTGCCGCCACTAGCAGGAACCGGGCCCCCGAATTTACCGGCTCCACAACCGGCGACAACGCCGACGCATGCCGGTGGCCCTCCAACGCCGCACGCCGGTGTCGGTACGGGGCCTCATCTGAACGGGGCCTCGCCGAGTCCCCATCCTATGCCACCCCACGGTATGATGAGCGGATCCCCGCACGCGCCTCATCCACATATGCCAGGCGGCGGACCCTCGCCTCATCCCCATCATCCGGCCCCTCATATGGTTGGCTCGCCTCATCATCCAGGCCCACATCCGATGCCTCCGAATGCGGCTGGCATGATGGCCCCAGCTGGTATGCAACCTCAAAATGCTCCTGGAATGTGCGGCCCTGGGCCGAGCGGTCCAATGGGACCTCATGGACATCCTCAAGCACCTGGACAACCACACATGCACAACGATCCATTTTATTGTTCACCTTTTGGATCTCATTATTTCAGGTAATTTTACATCATTAGTGATCACATTTTAATGCGAATCGATCGAAAAATGATCATCTTCCTTTCCTTCTTTTTTTTTTATTATTATTTCAATTCTACGAAATCCTTGCTAGATTTCAAGCAGGGTAATTAGAAAAGTTGGGAAACGAGAGAAAAGTATGCCTTCGTGACGTGACGTGACGTAACGTTTTAGTGTCACCCGTAGGGAAAAGAAGCACAGGTGTACGTCACGTGGAACGATCGATCCGCTAGCTTGAACGCGCGATGTTTTAATGTGTATTTGTTGTGCTCCTATGAGCAATGTATTGTTGTGGGCAGTCAATGCTTTGGATATCTGAAATTCTATTGAAAAAGAGAGCATGACCTATTCGCGTTAGAATATGCACATATACGCGTTCGAGCGTCGTGTGTACGTTCGTACGTGCGTGTCCGAATGCGTGGGGTTGCATGCGTGAAAATCAAAACCACAGACAAGTTTTATGATTTCCCGTAATTCTCTCTAGCCAGTAACTTCCGTATCGCGACGGTGAATGGCTCGTGTAATGTGTATCGATTGCTCTGCCAACTTCTTTCATATCTGAGCGTGAGTTGAATGCCTACGACAGTTGACTGGTCAAAGAATATTATGACAATTTCTTTTTTACATTATCAACAATTCCTTAATTTCATTTTAACTTACGTTATATGATCGAGAACAGTAAGAAGAACCAGATGGTTAAAGGAAGTTCCTAACCAATCGGATAATACTAATAATAATAATTGATATGCGTCATACGTTTTGCTAACTCGTCCCTACAATAATCGCTATTTTCGATATCCTTCCGTGACGTTTCGCGCTTGGAATTTATTTTTCATCTTCGAATTTATTCTAATCACGTGGCTTTCTTTTTTTTCGTCTAATCGTTGAATACTTCCTTCATTTCTCTCTCTCTCTCTCTCTTTTTAAGGTTAATTTTAACTTTATCCTATCGTAATAAAAAGAAGAACAAAAAAAAATATGTTAAAATGTTCGAATACTTTTTGTTGATACCTTAGATGTGATTTCGTACCATTAATTATCATTTACCGTTGAAACGTTATCTACAGATTCAACCAAGAGTGGATTTCTAATCATAATTAGTCGTACATTTTCTAAAGGATATTGTTTTACGGTTCGATACTTCGTTCCATGCCAATCGTCGCCGAGTAGATACTTACGTTAGTTCTCCCGGGCGTAGTAACAGTATAACCGAAGAATCCGTTATCGTAGCTCGGTCAGGATCTTCCTGGCGACCGTTTGTGCGTTCTCGAACGTGCCACGCGACATGGCTGCTGCAAGCATCAGCCAACTATATTCATGAAGGACGCGCGTTCCTTTGAGATGTGTTGCCTGTTAACTTCTGATCTTCTAGGTGAACCGTTATTCTACGGCACGACTAATTCAAAAGATGTCCTTTTCATTCTACGAAGATTATCGATTAAGAACAATTTAAGAAACCATGAGAGAACAAAATTGTTGTTCCTTTCTTTTTTTCTTTTTTTTTTTTATAATGATTTATTTTTGATAAGCTCAATAAGTTAGAACTATCACTTAATTGAACATACCGTTTGGTTGGTGAATGGTTTTAGAGTTTGAATTAGAAAGGTAAGAGGAAAATGATTAGAAGGAAAATTACAAAAGTATAGGACGAAGATGGAGGTGAAAGGAGGTGTAAAAGTTGAATCGTACTAGTCGGTGAAATTATTGACTGAGTGAAGTGACAGGGACACGTGCTGGTGCTGTTAACTGTAGTGGAGGAGAACATGTCCTTGCTAAGTCAGGTGCACACTGAAAGTCTCGTCGTTGTCGTTGTCATTGTCGTAGTTGTTATCCTCGTATCTTAACTTCAGGTGCTCCGCAGGTGGGAGGTGTACCCCTCGTGCAGGTGTTCTTACATATTCGTTCGCGAAACGCTACCACTTCCTCTTTCTAACTTTGCTTACTTTCATGAAGGTAGTAGAACAAGTTGACATTAAGGAAGAAGAAGAAGAAGAAGTCTTATAATTGGACTAACATTGCTGCTGTTCAACTATTTGTTTTTTCATCGAGAAAATGAAAAATAAGATAACGAATTGAAATCAATATTATACTTGAGATTTCAAACGTGCTGCTGAAAATCAAAGTAAGAGCATTTGTATGTAACTTTGGAGAAATCTATCATCTCAAATGAAAGACATTTGAGAACATCTTAGAAGTCGAATTTTCTGATGATTCTTAAAACAAACTATCATGTGTGATATTTTGTTGTTTAGCCTTTTTTTCTTTTTTTTCTTAGTTTTTGTTCGTTTCTTCATTTCGTTCCTTTTATGAATAGGAACTCTCTGGCATAGAGAGGTGTACACGATTATCCAGGTAGCCTTTGGCCTTCCTCGTATCCGGTCTGGACGTCTCTATCGGACTGACATCATCTCTCCAGTCGCTGGCCCTGTCTGGTAATCGGACAAGCTCATTATCATAAGCGTTCCACCCTGGTACATTCGCACGAATCACCGAGCTACTTTGCTCGAGATATCGCTACGAGATAACGGTTTTCTTCATTCCCCCCCCCTCCCCACCCTTCTCTCTTTCTTTTTTTCTTTTACTCTTTTTTTATTTTTTTTTCTGTTTTTTTTTTTTTTGCAAGACTTCTCCCCACCGTTCAAACAATGGATTTATAATATGCGTTAGAGCTCCTCTTCCTCGTTCGTTGTCTCGCTCACGAATTTTAAGGTCTGATTCCTACGATGATGATGATAATGATGATGCTGAAGGAGTGTGAGGGGGGTGGGGGGTGAATATATTCGTTTAGTTCATTGGATCAAATGATTTTTCTTATTGTTCATTAAAATTGTATATTTTGAAAAGAAACAAAACTGTCAATCTCCCCCACATTATTTTCATTATCTTTAACGTCGTCGTACTCGACTCTGGATTTTCCTGAATTTATCTTTTTTTTTTTTTTTTCAGTCAAGGCCATTAGTATATATGTTCGAGACTGTTATCGATAATACTCGTGGGTAATATCTAAAGATTCCAAGTTTAAAAAAAAAAAAAAAAAGAAAAAACCGCGGACGCAAAAACCCGTCGAGAAACTTACAAGTGTGTGTGTGTGTACAATCGGAAGTAACGAATACGTGTATGGTTCTCTTATCTTATCGCGACCTCCGGCTAGGATAAGGAAAACCTTGATCGACTCTCTCGACAATTCCATTTGGAATGTGTATGCATGTATGTAAGTGTGTATATGTGTGAGTAAAGTCAAAATTTAGTGTCAATTTCGTTTTTGTATTCGTCGTCTCATTTATTTTAGAGATGTTTATGTTTTATTTATTCAATGGTGATTTGTTATTCGAATTGTTTTTCATTATTTTGATAGAGAGAGAGAAATAAATTTGGATATAAGGATAATTAATTATAAAAAAATTATTAAATGTAGATTTATGTGGTGAATATTGTATATAATTATTTGTCTATTGTAAATGTAGATAATTGATGAAATGAATAGAAAAAAAAAATATTACGGTAATATTTATATATTATTATAATTATATTATAGTAATAATATTATATAATATATTATAATATTATTATAATATATAATTGTAATATATATTTTATTTAAAATAAAATTAAATTATTACGATTTTATATATATTACAATAAAATATTACAAAATATTGTAAAAATAATCTAAAAGAAAAGAGCACCCCGATCCCCACGTTACGATTATTAATCGTTTAGCAATTTAATCGTTTAGCACGTGGTACCGAACCTGTCCAGTCTTCTCGTTTTAATTGAAAAAAAAAAAAAAAAAAAAAAAAAAAATAAAAATAAAAGATAACATTCATCTTTAATATCTTTGTAATAGTTCTCATATAATTTGTATCTATTAACCGGAATATAAGTGGACCACGTGCTACTGCTAGTAACTAGCTACGAAACGAGTCGATGGTGGTATCCGCTTTCGATGCGGTTTCCTAGGAACTAGGACGGTTTCTATCTCTCTCTCTCTCTCTCTTTTTTTTTATACATATGCACACATACACGTACATAGATATATATATGTGCTTAAAGTTTATATAGAGAAACACATTTACAGATGTAAGACGTATAAAGCTTAGTTTCTTATTTATGAGTTTTACACGCACCGTCGTTCCAGTTTTTGCACGCACGTGCGAGTCTTCGATGAGGAGTCGACATACGAGTAAGACAAATCGTTTTCCGACCACGCGAGATAAACTTGCGATATATGTTCTAATCCAAATCAATTCACACACAGAGTCGTAGAATATTTTACTTCCACAATTTCAATCGTTTGTAGAAGTCTTTCTCTTTCCTAACAGAAAGAAAACAACAAAACACACACACGTACATTCATTCAAATTTACCTGTTGCTACTCCTATTTTTTTCTAATCTCTGTGATCTTACGAATCATCAAAGTTTCTCAGATCAATTTCAATGTAATTCAATGATGATTTTGAATTTGTCAATGAATAAAAAATATTTAAGAATGATTCGGGTTGTGTACAAAAAACAAAAGATGTTCTCTGAGCTTTATCCGGTGTAAAACCTTCTCATGTGTGTTGTGTGTGTGCCCAGGGAGCGTATCAGGTCGTCGTATCGCATAAAACCCTTTCAGGCTTCCAGTTTCCCGCGAAACTTTAGAACACGAGCAAGCAGCAGGTTCAAGGCAAACACCACATATCATGTCTTATTTGATTCTCTCGATTCTTGTTAGATTAATTCACGCATATATTTATCTTAGATTGTGATTAAAATTATCGACAATTAATCGTAAATAATCGTAATAGGAATTTTTGTAATCAATTTTGTTTTGGTTTTTCGATGTAAATAATCTAACGATAAAAATACATTTATTTTTTTTTTATTTTTTTTTATTTTTTTTTTCTAATGATGAAGTATAAAAAATACCGCGTACGGTATTTTTTATTTATTTATTAATATTATAAGTTATATTTATATTTTGTATTATAATTAAAT